AAAAAAAAATTGCTGAAAAAAAACAAAAAAAAAAAAAAAAAAATGCAAATTCCAGCCCCAAAAAAATATGCATGCATGCATGCATGCATGCATGCATGCATGCAAATATGCATGCATGCAAATATGCATGCATGCAAGCATGCAAATATGCATTTATATATAATATATACATATATATACATACAATTTATTAGTAAATAATATTTATATATTTTATTCCCTTTCTTTCTGTTATTATAGTTAGCAAAAACCCTAAACCCTAATAAACCCTAATAAACCCTAATAAACCCTAATAAACCCTAATAAACCCTAATAAACCCTAATAAACCATAATAAACCCTAATAAACCGTAATGAACCGTAATAAACCCTAATAAACCCTAATAGAGGCTTACCTATAATAGCCATAATAGCTCCTAATAAGAAAGTGTATTGATTAGTCCATTGATTAGCAATAGGTAGACAAAGATGTTGCATCCAATGAATAAAGAAAAGGAAGAAAAAAAAGAAAAAAAGAGAAGAAAGGGAGATAAAATGTGCAATAAACCCCATTCCTCTATTTAATGTTAATTTACATAAACTAAATGTAATTGTAGGTCTAAATATACCTAAAAATCTAGGTAAACCCTCAGGATATAATATATTTGTTGCTGCTGCTCCTCCTCCTCCTCCTCCTGATCCTCTTAATGTATTATTTTCCTCATTGGGTACTCCTCCTCTACATAATGATCGGTTGGGGGCCCCCAATACACCTCGAGGGGGGCCCCCATGATGAGAATTCTCTCCTACAGCAGCAAATGCTGTTAATGCAACACATGTACTTCTTTCTGCTGTATGTACATCATTATATTCATCAAAAGGATTTGTTGTATGGTTGCTGCTGCTGCTGCTGCTGTTGCTGCTGTTGCTGCTGTTGTTGCTGCTGTTGTTGTTGTTGTTGCTGCTGTTGTTGTTGTTGCTGCTGCTGTTGATGTCGGTGGTGGTAGATGTGGTTGGTGTTGTTGTTGTTGCTGTTGTTGTTGCTCCTGCTGCTTCTGCTGCTGCTGCTGCTGCTGCTGCTGCTGCTGCTGCAGGCTGCAGAGGCTCTAGTACTGACGCAGGGAGGTCAGAGGCATTAGAGGGGGAATCAGAAGAAACACCACCAACTTTGGTGGTAAAGATAGGGGTCCTCATAATAATTATTTAGTCAATAAAGGAGCAGCAGCAGGTATACTTGCTGCTGCTGCTGCTGCTGCTGTTGTTGTTGTTGTTGCTGCTGTTGTTGTTGTTACTGCTGGTGTTATTGCTGTTGTTGTTGTTGTTATTGCTGTTGATGGTGTTTTTCCTCCTCTTCCTGATCTTATACAGGGGAAAAAAGAAAAAAAATGAATGTTTTGCTGCAGTGTATACGCATGTAGGGTGTATATACACCACAACACGGAGGCAGCAAGACGAGCAACAAGAAGATGAATTCTTCTTCTTTTTTAGGCAAAAAAGAAGAAAAAAAGAATAACAATATAAATAAAAGGAAGAAATGAATTAATAATGACGTTTATTAAGAGAAAAAAGAAGAAGAAAGTGCAAGAAGAACACTCACCTTTCTTTTTTATCTTCCTTTAGTATTTATACCAGCCAGCAGCAGCTTCCTGTGTCGGCTGCTGCTGCTGTTGCTGCTGCTACTGCTGCTGCTGTTGTTGTTCCTATATAAATGAATTGCATGCAGCAATAATATGCAGTGCTTTATTAAATAAAAAGACATAAAAAGAAGAAAAATAACATAAAAATATACTTTTATATGCATATAAGAAGTAAATATACAAAAAAGTTAGCAAACACAGTAGCGACGCGCGCCTCACGTGTGCAGAATATGAATATACATAGAGGGGAAAAAGAAGGAAAAAAAGCATTAATTAATTATATTTATTTATATTTATACTTTTAAATAAAATTATAATTATATATTCTTTCTTTTTATTGTATTTATACATTAAAAATAAACAATCGAAGGTATTCAACTTCCCAGGTGTCTCGGCAGCTTGGGGTGTATGCATACGCATCATTAAGTTGTTGTTAATAAATAAATTAAATAAAATAAATAAAATAAATTAAATAAATTAAATTAAATAATTTAATTATTTATTTAATTTATATTTAATTATATATAAAAAAAAACAAAGAAGAAAGACTACTCCCTTACTAAGGAATTCCTTCCTCTTATTCGTCCTTCTGTGCTCCCTCCTGTATGCTGTACTATTAATATAATACAAGAATAAACAACTATATATTTATTTACTTTTTTCTTTATTTCTTTCTTTTTTCTTCTCTTTTTTTTGTTTTTATTCCTTTTTACTCCTTTATTTAATTAAGACAGAGAGGGATTAACACTACGAGTATTAATTATGCAGAAAAAAGATTATTTATTAAAATAAATAAATAAAAAAAGAAGAAAAAGAAAATAAATAAAAAAATAAATATTTTATTTTTTATTTATTTCCCCTAACGCGTCTCTTTTTCTTTTATATATTTTACTCTTATTTGTTTCCTTTTTTTGTTTTTTTTTTTCCCTTTTTATGTCTTTCTTTGTTTATTGTTTCTCCTTTTTTTGTATTTCTTTCCTTACATACATTATTTGTTTATTTTTTCTTAATTTTATTTATTTTTGTTTATATTTAATTTATTCTTTTTTTTTCTGTATTTGTTTATATATATAAGACAAAGTATAATACTAATACATTAACAGCAACAGTAAGCAATTAATAATAAATATAATATATATAATATACATATAATTATATGTATAATATATATAATTATATATATGTATTATATACATATATAATTATATATTATATGTATATACATATAATATATTTACCCAAGACGCATGCATGCATGCATGCATGCATGCAAAAAGAAAGAAGGCGTATTTTTTTGCCTCTTTTTTACATCCTATTTGTTTATCTTTTTCTCCTTTTCTCCTTTATACATTACATAAGTTTATTTGTCCTTCTCCCCTTGTACCTCCTTATCTGTATATTATATATTATATATAGATAATATATAACGTATAATATACAGATATAGATATACATTTATTTATTTTTTCCTTGTCCTTTTTTTGCTATTTATTTATACTGTAGCTAAAGAAGGAGGAAGCAACAAATAAGGAAATAAAGGAAAGAAAGACAATAAATATAAATAAGTGCTATATATATAGTGTATAATAATACATCTATGTATTCTTCTGTGGTGTATAGGCAGCTAAAAAGTATTATAATAAAAGAATAAACAAATAAAATACATTAATAATTGGTAGTAAAGGGAGAGAAAATAAGCAAAAAGAAGAAGAGGTAATACTATCTATAGTGTATAAGGAAAAAAGACGTACAAATTAGTACTGTATATGACGGTAACCTGAATAAATGAATAAATTATAAATTAATTGTTTATTTTTACTTATTTTAATTATAATATGTAAATATTAATTAAAGAAGATAAAAAGAATATAATTAATTGGTCCATTGGTTCCTTATTGCTGTATATAGAAGGAAGCTTATATTCCTTTTTCTTTATGTATTTATTGAACAGTAACAAAAAGTATATTGAATTAAATGTTTTCTTCTATTAAATTTAATGTATTTTGTTAAAATTCCTTTTATTTTATAAATAAATACTTTTAATAATATTTTTTACTTTCCTCTTACTTCCTCTGTTCCTTCAATGATGACGATCAGCAACAGAGAGGCCGACGACCGGCCGTGACGGGGAGGTGATGGAGGCAATAAAGGTATAAAGCTGTATAGATCTGTTGATTCAATCTTCTTTTAAGATTCTTATCTAATTAAAAACAAAGAAATAAACCTAAATATTATACATTAAAGAAGAAAAAGAAGAAAAAAAAACTTGTGTGCGGAAGCCTCACGCATGTGCGCGCCGCCACAGCCCGAAATTGAACTGTCTGTACACCTGAGGGAGCGGTTTTGCAAGAAGGGGAATTTTTGAGGTTTTTTTCGTTTAATTGAATAAAAATTGAAAATTAAAGGGAATTTTAATGCAAATTTATTGAAAACCTTCTAAAGGACCTCCTCAGGTTCCCTACAAACCCCGAGGAAGGCAGCTAGCTCCCTTGATCATTCCGATGAGGTTACCTGCTTTTCTTCTTTTTGTTCCTTCATTTTAACTGTAACTTTTTGTTTATTTCAACGTTTATTTATTCAATTATAAGCAAATAAAACTTTTACAACTCT